CATTGATTTATGGCCCGAGTTCGGTCTCTGTCACATTATGTAATTACACAGACAGGCAGGTGTGATACTTGAACACATGACATGTTATTATGTCTGTTGATTGCAAAATGTTATACACAAAAAAATGAGCATGTATTTACAAAACCCAACATCTCTCTCTATATATACACACAATGAGCCGTGAAGGCTTCTGCAAATGAACCAGCCGTTACACTTGAGTGCACACCCACCCGCTCTGACTGGGTTCGGTATCCCGGCTGCTTCGTTTCTTGGGAAGTAAACCGAAGTACACAATTTTGCACTTTTGATTTGCGATTGTACGCTTATAATTTTGTTTATATAGTTTTTCATAACCAGCAATGTATATTATATGTCATGAATAAGTGATAATTGTGTTTTAATTATATTTGATTTTTTTGGTTGCATGTGACCTTTAACATTTGTCCATTTTGTACATATTTTTCCAAGTGAGTGAGTTGAGTACAGATATCCCTCGATAATTATTGGGATTATTTATGCTTTTTGTGGGTCTCCCCTTCAGAATAACACCTTGCACCTGTAAGTGTAGTGTTCTGAGCTTCTCAATGAAAAGGGATTGGCGTCAAGCAGTGGCTGTGTAGTGTAGGTTTCCGTGTGGAATGAGAAAGGCTGGGTTTCGCACCTGCCAGCATATTCTTCCATGCTTCAGAAAATAAGGAGATTGACGTAATATATATTTACCCCTCGACTGTCTATTAAAAGCTTTTGATGTGATGATTGTACCAATACTACTTTATGGGTGTGAAGTCTGGGGATATGAACATTTAGCTGCTACCGAAAAGGTTCATCTGAAGTTTCTGAAACTGGCAACTGGACTTAGAAACTCCACTCTAAGTTTCATGTCATATGGAGAACTTGGTCGAATGCATCTGGCTATTTGCGAAAGAATGAAAGTTATTGGCACAAGCTAGAACTAACAACTCTTACTACAAAAATGTCCTAACTTGTTAATATACTCTGTAAAACTGATAATGTAAACTCCAGTTGGTTAAACTATGTACAGAAGATTCTCAATAACTTTGGATTAAGCTATGTATTTCAGAATCCTTTATGCGCTACCACTAATTACCTTATTATGCAGGTTGAGAGAATACTGAAAGATAATTTTTCCAAAGTTGGCAAGTAAGTGTTCGTAACAGCCCAAAAACTTCTTATTACCAATACCTGAAAAATTATTGCATCTTTTGAAAAATACCTTTTATTACCCAGCTTTGTTTCTATCCCAGTCCTGTGATTCAGATCTTGTAATCACAATCTGCCTGTTGAAACCAAGAGAAATCTGAACTTGACAACTTTGTAAAAGCCCAGCGATTGCTGACGAATTTCACTTTATTCTATAGATGTAAGTCATTTGCTGTCAAACGAAACCTTTGTATTGCCCATAAATTCAATACGTTTCCAAATTTGTATACTTTTCAATCATTATTTACATATAACAATTGCCAATCTTAAAAAAGCTTCCCAAGCTTTCTATCATCAACTCAACACTCAAGAAACTTAAAGGAGAATACTAATGAAAAGAAAACTCTTCATAGGGTGTAAAGGCATTCTAAAAGTCACCTTTGAACAAAAAGTTTGTAAGATCGCTATGAAATTATGAAAATCGTACTTGTATTTCCGCCTATTATTGAAACACCTAACAGTTAATGAGCAGTGGGGGTATCACGAGACATGACGTCATATGTGCCTTTTGCTGATGGCTTCCTCTTTGACTTTACCTCACAACTTAACAGAGTCCATGGATTCTGAAGCAATAAAAGATGTTCCTCATGTCATTTCAGAAATATATATGTTAGACCGGATCAATACGATCCGATTTTACATCTTGCAAAACAGTATTCCAGTGAAAATGCAGAAGAATAATCAAGCGAAACAGAGGCACCGCTTGATGTTTAAATAATTTTGAAAATAGACCATATAATTATCAGGAATATTTTTTGTCAGCAACATGTGATACAGTCCAAGCAGCACACCCACCCCAATAAATAAATTATCAGTCCCTAAGAAAATATTTTGTGAAATGTGATTGCAGTTCTTTTTGTGTCAAATGGGTGACTGCAGGGTGTCTTGGATTTAAAAAAAACCATTAAAGCTTCACACGGGGGAACATAGAAATTATCTGTTACAACAAATTAATAAATTTGTTGTAACGAATTATATGGATATTCTAAGATGCCTAGCGGTTAGAACAATCGAAAAAACAATATATTATCAGACAATAAAGGTATAGTTTTGTGATGATGTAACTATTGAATGACGTTATCCCATCACTGCGCCATTCTAGTGTGCCCCCTCGTAATCGAAACCATTTTACATTACGTCACAATGTAAGCGACGTCACGATGCATGTCAGTTGTTATCGCCTCGTACGGCCTCCTACAGTAAACAATGTGCATCCAGTTTCTTGGTTTGCAGTTGCTTCACGCAGCTAACATCACTGGTGGAAACATTACGTTTATGTTTTTCGACGGTTAAAATGTGTCATTTGGACTCACAAGTTTTCAGCGACACGGTAACGTTTGCAATGTTTACATTCCCACAATGCAATTGTGGAATGTCGCTTGACTACTCAACTTCCTCTGGATGTACTGATCTAACCTTACGCTGGAAGTAGAAATGCAACGTTCATATTGCCCCATATGGTTTACGTTAATGACAGATGTAATTAAAATAATTCAGAGAAGATATTTAATCCAAACGTAAACCGTCATCAAACTGTTATCATTTGTTTTTTTCTGGTAACGTTCGTCTTAACGTAGAGGGCAGACACATGAATAGAACAGCGCGTCAGTTGGCCCTGTGCGAGGATTCTTAATTTAGGTCACCGACACCGTCGTTTGTTTTCTGCCTTAAATTAATCGTAATTATCTTTAGAAAGTATTAAATTTGGCATCTTAGAAAAGAAATACTATGCATACACTATACATGGTGGTAGAGCGAAGTTTATTTCTTAACTAGCAGAGACCATAATCTATTATATGGTCTCTGATACTAGTCAGGACCATGTATATTTCCCTAGATTTTGCTTATGTAAATAGTTATGTTGCTCGGTCATAGCCTTAGAATGACATCTTGTCATCCAATGAGAATACAGAACAACTTTCATGGCAAACACTACCGATAAATAGGCAGTCTGATGCCGATGTGCGCAATTGGACAAAATGGAAAACAATGAATGTAACGTGCACTTCATGATTTGCCATTGTATTCAGCAATTTTTCGGGTTGACTGCAGCATTTATGGCTCCAAACCAGAACAAAACATTTTCAAGATTATGAGAAATCTCTTACTGATAGTATACGGTATCAGTCGAACTGCCCCAGGTACAGAATGCCGCAGCAAATTTGGTCATTGATCCTAATTTGCTAAAATTTATTTAAAATGATTAAATATATACCATAAATGCATAGTTTTTGTCAACTTTGATATTATGTTCTTCATATGAAAGTTATTAAGAAGTAATATTTCTGATAAATGTTCAATTAATAAACTCAAAACTATATACCCGTATAACTTTTATATGAAGAACGTAATATCAAAGTTGACAAAAACTAGGCATTTATGGCATATATTTAATCATTTTAAATAAAGCGGGGAATTTTGACTATCCCCTGGGGCAATTTGACAATTTGCTGGGGCATTTTGTAGCTGGGGCAATTCGACACCTACTTCATCATAATCGGACTTGATTTAATCTATAATAAAAATTAGTTGTAAAAGTAAGTTGTAACATGGAATGGTGTAGTATGAATAAATCTCTTGGGTACTGCTTCCTTCTTCAGCTTATATTTTGGATTTTCATACGCCATGTGTGTGTGTCTCTTTTCATATGCAGGGCGGTGGGGTAGTCTAGTGGTTAAAGCGTTGGCTCGTCACGCGGAAGACCCGGGTTCGAATCCCCACATGGGTACAATGAGTGAAGCCCATTTCTGGTGTCCTCCGCCGTGATGTTGCTGGAATATTGCTAAAAGCAGCGTAAAACCAAACTCAGTCAGTCAGTCTTTTCATATGCGCCCGACTTGAAGTGATTGGGCATTTCTCTTGCCAACATTTTTCTTTTTACTTGCAAAATGAAAGAAATGGTTGCTCTTTCCATTGTTCGATGATGCTGTGCATCACCAGGCAACCATACAACATCATACCATTTACAAAAACGACAGAAACAACACAATTTGTATTACTGTAGCGCTTGGTCTTTGGCAATAAGGCAGACTTGAGTCACATATGACGTCACAAGCGGAAAGGTCACTTGAGTTCCAGCGGAATATGCATAATGGCCGAAGCTCAAATAACAGAAAGTTTCAAACTTTTTCCACGATTAAAACATAAATAACCATATTCTTGAATTAAAAATTGGGGTACATGTTTCTGATGATTCTATCTTCTACCCAGCAAATTATTGAAATTGTCTAGTATTCTCCTTTAAACGAATATAACCCAAATTAACCTTCACCTTGTTTTTGTATGCATAAATTGTATGTCTTGTCTTCAATTGTACCACCGATGGTGGTTGAATGAGAATAAAGGAATTGAATTGAATTGGCGCCAGGTCCAAAGACAAGCCGTTCCAGTTTTGAAGCACAGAAGTCTACTTTAACAGGTGGGAAGCCCATCCCTTCTGATTCGGAACCAATGAATCGCCGCAGACAGGAATACTCATGAAACATGGGACCATGCTGACTACTGCCTGAAACACGGAGCCTATAACTATGTCGAGATGTTCTTACCTGGCAGAGTAGGGGTACAGGCCTTACCTGGCAGAGTAGGGGTACAGGCCTTACCTGGCAGAGTAGGGGTACAGGCCTTACCTGGCTGAGTAGGGGTACAGGCCTTACCTGGCTGAGTAGGGGTACAGGCCTTACCTGGCTGAGTAGGGGTACAGGCCTGAGTAGGGGTACAGGCCTTACCTGGCAGAGTAGGGGTACAGGCCTTACCTGGCTGAATAGGGGTACAGGCCTTACCTGGCTGAGGAGGGGTACAGGCCAACACTCTACGCCAGCGTGTTCCATGAAGTCGTTTGCTATACGATAATAGTATGGGGTCGGCACAAGGATGCAGTCTAAAGTGTGAAACAAAACAGAACATGGGCACATAACAGGAAGACACAAGGACTCAAAGAATATAATGTGGAATTTCATCAGTGGAGTACATACCGTTTTTACAGATGTGTTAAATACTACAATAAGAGCAAAAGTCATCAGGTTCACCAAATATTGCAAACACTACATCCTACAAATTCAAACCCACAAGAACAGAGGAAATAACATTGGCTGATTTGCTCCTTGAGTTCTAGTTTTGTCGCCTCTATTGACAGTAGAAATAATGCAGTATTTCATCAGTCGTGTGACAATGTTTCATTCGCTCTCTGTTCTCATATTATCACTCATTATCTTGAATAAGTCGTCTCATAACTTGGGTTCAGATGGACAGACGGATGAATATTCATTGTGAATTTTCCACTCGGTGATGTTGATTTATATAAGTGTGACTCCCCCACCCCAACCCCTTACACCCTGCATAAATAATTTAGGTGCAACAATATGTTTCTTATGATGAGCATGGTGTGTTTTTGTAAAGGTGTCAGTGAGGTATCAGAAGAATACTCAAAACAACATGGAAGGATGTGGAGTATATATATTCACCGCCATGTTCAGCAATGGCGAATGCTAGGGTCTCGAGAATCGAAGTTGTACCACTTGATACCACTAGCTAAAACAGAGGTGAAAATCAAAACCATTATAGATAAGATACATGTTGACACATTTTCCAGGATTGGACTTTTCTGAAGGAAAATATGGGAAGTTTATTTCAATATATATTTATTAACTGATAGGAGACTGTTGAACATTTAAACATGCATTCAAGTCACTCAGCAGGAATTGAACATTTACTTATATTAGGATTACATTAGGACATGAATAAGAGATGTAAGCATTTTAGGATAACGATGAATTAAAACTTAAACATTAACCCATGGTAGGATAAAAACAGGGCATGACTTAATCACATCACTTCTAAACACTAACCTATTACAAGAAGTAGACGTCGACAGGACAAGACTTAATCACCTATTTGTATATAAACTAGATAGATGGAAGAGGTAGAGATATATATGTTACACTGAATATATCAAATCAGTGATTTTGTATAATCACTGAAAATTTCAGGGATTTTATAAAAATTCCTGATTTACTCGGTGGTTTCACAAAATCCCTGGAATTCCTAGGAATTTAACAAAATCCCTGAAAATCACAACAATTTTTTTACATATTCCCTGAAATGAATATGTTGCATTCTCAGTGGTTGTTTTGACAATACTGCTTGTAATAAGTAAGGACAAAATCGTGTAAAAAATTGTTAATTATTTTTCTGCATTGACATGAAAATGACCTTTATAGATTTCAAATAGTTGCATAAATATGTAAGTGACAAAGACAATATCTATCACTATCAGATGTCGCATCAGTGTTCAATTACTATAATCATGCAGTGGGTCAGAGTACCTTCTGTGAGTTAGTTAGTTTAGTTTTACGCCACACTCAGCAATATTCCAGCTATATGGCGGCGGCTGTAAATAATCAAATAATCGAGTCTGGACCAGACAATCCAGTGATCAGCAGCATGAGCATCGAACCTACACATAACCTGAGCCTTGTCACATTTGCACCTTGGTGTCTGACATCTTTTGTGCCACTACAGTTATGTTTCACAAAACCTTGTCCACCACATGGAAACTCTGACTGGACTGCAGATCTCAGCAATACAAGTTTCTCAGTCGACATATCTGTAATTGTGTAGAGAGAGGTGGCACACACATCAAACTGGTTGCGGGAATACTTTCCAAATGAGACGTCGGCTTTTACAGCAAGTGTGTACATGCCGTTGTCAGTAATATCCATTACAACTCCTATGATCGTCTCTCCCCTCTGTCAACACCAGGAATTAGTATTGTCACATTGTCACCCACTGCAACCTCAGAGAGAACAGTCTTGCTCCGTTTCGCCATTCTTTCTGCTTGAAGAATCTGCGACTCTGCTGCCCTCTTCCTGTGTTTACTGATGTCTTTATGTCTCACAGCAACAAGGTCTGTTGATGGAGAGTGTTCTGGTTGTGGCTCTGGTTCTGGTTGTGGCTCTCGTTGTGCTTGTGGCTCTTGTTGTGCTCTTGCGTCTCTTGATTGCTCTTGCTCAAAATGATCGGGTTCTCGTTGTTGATCTGCCAAATGCACTGTATCTGACGACATGGGGTTGAGTAGGTCATTTGAAGTCTAGCATTAACCTCTGCTGGGAGACTGGACGAGTTGAGACCACAAAGGCATCAGAGCCAGTGAAAACAGTGAAGGGTGTCATCTTGATGTCACTGTGATAACTGGAGTTCTTCTGGAACTGGACGAACTTCCAGCCGATGGCAGTAAGCATATACACTAAACGCCAAAAGAAACGTTACCCACCTATCTTTATGATGTACTGAAAAACTATCAAAGAAATGTTAGAAAGTATTAGTTTACAAGAAAGCTTTATAACACAGCTTTATGCAAATCATGAAAAATATTGTTCAAATGCATCCATATTTAGGTGATAAAGATAAACCATTTAAAGTCACCATTATTCAACTATTACAACAAGAAACAACCGTTGTAGAGTATGTAAAATTGTAAAAGAATCATTCATATGATTTCAGTCTTTTTATAACATTTTCTGCTGATTTGCATTAGTGAAAACATGTACAACGTGTCTGTGATATTGTAAAAAAGTGTTTAGGAACACCTAAAATTATTTTTCCATTTTCTGTTTACACATACCAGAATCAATCGCCAAAACGTAGCATCAATTTCATGTATAAAATGATTGTTTAGGGTATAAAGACAGCCAAGAATGCATGATATGATACTAAAGTACGAGAAATATGCCTCGTCTAACAGCAGAAGAGATAGAAAGAGCCATTGGGATGGTGCAGATGGGGTCGATGTCCAATGCTGTTGCCAACACCCTCGGATGCCACCGTATCACTGTTATAAGACTTATGCAGCGCTACAGACAGACTGGGGTCACCGTAGATAGGCCAAGAAGTGGACGTCCACGCATCACCAGGCCAGGTGAAGAGAGTAACCTCCGTCAAATACACCTGAGGAACAGACGTCATCAGTAAGGACAGCTCTGGGATGTCAAATCAGTTCGACAACAGTTAGAAGAAGACTTCGGGTCCAAGGTTTATGGCCATATAGACAGGCAGGGGATACAGCTGATGCGGCAGCACTGTCTAAACACGGTTGTGTGGGCACATAATGTCCGACATTGGCAGAACCAGACCTGGCGGTGAGTGATGTCCACCGTTGAGAGAGATTCTATGATCCACCATGCAGATAGGAGAAGGAGGGTGTACTGTCATCGGGTGAAAGAGAAGACCCATGCTGTGTTCAGGATGTCATTCCACAAGGGGGAGGCAGTGTGATGGTTTGGGTTGGAATCAGGGACGACATTGCCACCGACCTTGTCATCATTGATGGCAATACAACCGCACGAGCCTACAATGACCATGTTGTCCAGCCTGTGGTTCTCCCTTTCTTGCAGCGTCACCCAAACATGCTTTACCAACAGGACAATGCACCCCCTCACATTGCACGATTGACGTCTAACTTCTTCAACGCCAACAACGTTAACGTTTTGCCGTGGCCTTCAAAATTGTAAGACATGAACCCTACCGAACATATATAAATTGCAGGGTTTGCTCACATCAAGAACAGCCCCACACTCGACCGCAACTGATCACTGCTCTGAGAGAAGAATGGGCCCGTATTCCAGCTGCCTTCATCAGACGATTGCCATTTTATGTGAGGAGACGTGTTATGGCATGTTTGCATGCCAATGGTGGCCACACTAAATATTGAAGAAGTCATGAAATAACAAAATTATGAAATTTACATTGTTTTGTTGTCCTTTTGTGTGTGATCGAAAACTGGACTATGAAATTAGCCTAATATATCATTGCAGCAGCAGAAAAATCAACCAATGTTCTCAAAATCTTAAGTGACCATATGATTCGATATTGTTTGGCCATAAAATGCAGCTGAAAGTTTCATCCTCACTTCAGCGGATTTTAAGAAATTCATTCAGGAAGGAGGGTAACGTTTCTTTTGGCGTTTAGTGTATGTAAAACATAATGCGTATTTTTAACTTCCTTATATTGTTTATCTTTGGTTACTGTATACACATGCAATATTTACAAGCAGTATTGTCAAAACAAACACTGAGAATGCAATATATTCATTTCAGGGAATATGTAAAAAAAAATTGATTTTCAGGGATTTTGTTAAATCCCTAGGAATTCCGGGGATTTTGTGAACAGCACCGCATATAGTTCTCAAAGCATCAAGATGTAAGTTATCTAACTTATCCTGGGATGAACTTTACGTACAATATCATTGGTTTGGTCATTCCATGTTGGATGAAAATAGATTGAAGAGGTAAACAGGTAATAAGGGTGCATGCAACAGATAAAACACATACACGTGTTGGAGTAATGAGAGGTTGAGGAATTACATGCTAGATAACGGCGGAGAAGTATTCTGTCTTAAGCTAAATATGTTTTTATAATTGTAATTCAACTTCTAAGATCTATTGTTGGGTGATCACATTTACCCGTGTCATGTCATGAGTAATGATTACATTGGTATGTTGTTACAAGCAGTACGTTGAAGGCAAGACAGTATACCTCTTCCGGATCGATCTCATAAATTGGTTGAAATCGTTCCTCAAAGAAATACTTCAGCTCCTTCCTGAAACTAAACACATCGTCCAGGATTAGTCCATAATGCCTGTTTGATATCAATGCAATACAGCTATTGTTGATCGTTAAATTTACAATACCGTCTGGTTGCATCCAATCACTACTGTACTGTCACATCAAACATGAACAGCTCGTGATATGTGTACACTTGAGCATTTTTAATGCACCTACATCTTGCAATATTGTAAGTGCTGGGCCAAACAGGCGGTTGTATCTTTGTATACTTGAATACACATGTAAAGCATATCTCAAAACATATGGTCCGTATGTTCCCGAGCTGCAAAGCAGCCCAGCACAGTTGACATGTCAAGATGTAGACGTTGAGAAAATACAAGATGACAAGTTATGGCAGTGCATGATGTAGATGTTCAGAAAATACAAGATGACAAGTTATGGCAGTGCATGACGCAGGGATGTCCTGTCGCAACATCGGTGCTAACAGTAACCACAATGTGAATGTATACCCAATAATATCATTGTCGGCAGAAATCTTGAACTGTAAGATAACACTTCCAGACCACATAGTTAGTCAGGGTAGTCACTGATTATAATCTACTCAATTGACTGGCCCTAATTTCACCTGGCAAGGGCATTTTGTCCTCTGGTTATTAACACATTCACCTCTCTTGTCCTCTGGTTAACAGTGTCAAGCTTAGTTTCACTTCTCCTTTCCTCCGAATGACAGAACCATTCACCTTTCTCGAAATAAAGTGACTATTGGCTTTGACTTTCTGCATCCCTGTGTCACAATTGTCCCACAAGTATCTTGATATCGCCATTGATATTTTACTCATTGCTCAGGCCTATGTATTACTTAGCTTAGTGGTCTTAGACAGTGTTAATAAGAGGATATTGGAAGTGAATGGGTGGATACTACTAGGGTGGACTGTGTTAGAGAGAGAGAGGACAAGGGAAGTGAATGGCACGGATACTTGGCTGGACCGTGTTAACAAGAGGACAGGAGAAATGAATGCCGTGGATACTAGGCTGGACTGTGTTAACAAGAAGACAAGAGAAGTGAATGGCATGAATACTAGGCTGGACTGTGTTAACAAGAGGACAAGAGAAGTGAATGGCGTGGATACTAGGCTGGACTGTGTTAACAAGAGGACAGGAGAAATGAATGCCGTGGATACTAGGCTGGACTGTGTTAACAAGAGGTCAAGAGAAGTGAATGGCATGGATACTAGGCTGGACTGTGTTAACAAGAGGACAAGGGAAGTGAATGGCATGGATACTAGGCTGGACTGTGTTAACAAGAGGGCAAGGGAAGTGAATGGCATGGACACTAGGCTAGACTGTGTTAACAAGAGGACAAGAGAAGAGAATTGCATGGATACTAGGCTGGACTGTGTTAACAAGAGGACAAGGGAAGTGAATGGCATGGATACTAGGCTGGACTGTGTTAACAAGAGGACAAAGGAAGTGAATGGCATTGATACTAGGCTGGACTGTGTTAACAAGAGGACAAGAGAAGTGAATGGCATTGATACTAGGCTGGACTGTGTTAACAAGAGGACAAGGGAAGTAAATGGCGTGGATACTAGGCTGGACTGTGTTAACCAGAGGACAAGAGAAGTGAATGGCATTGATGCTAGGCTGGACTGTGTTAACAAAAGGACAAGAGAAGTGAATGGCATGGATACTAGGCTGGACTGTGTTAACAAAGAGGACAAGAGAAGTAAATGGCATGGATACTAGGCTGGACTGTGTTAACAAGAGGACAAGGGAAGTGAATGGTGTGGATACTAGGCTGGACTGTGTTAACAAAAGGACAAGAGAATGAATGGCACGGATACTAGGCTGGACTGTGTTAAGAAGAGGACAAGGGAAGTGAATGGCACGGATACTAGGCTGGACTGTGTTAACAAGAGGACAAGAGAAGTGAATGGCACAGATACTTGGCTGGTCTGTGTTAACAAGAGGACAAGGGAAGTGAATGGCATGGATACTAGGCTGGACTGCGTTAACAAAAGGACAAGAGAATGAATGGCACGGATACTAGGTTGGACTGTGTTAACAAGAGGACAAGGGAAGTGAATGGCACGGATACTAGGCTGGACTGTGTTAACAAAGAGGACAGGAGAAGTGAATGGCACAGATACTTGGCTGGACTGTGTTAACAAGAGGACAAAGGAAGTGAATGGCATGGATACTAGGCTGGACTGTGTTAACAAGAGGACAAGAGAAGTAAGTGGCATGGATACTTGGCTGGACTGTGTTAACAAGAGGACAAGAGAAGTAAATGGCATGGGTACTAGGCTGGACTGTGTTAACAAGAGGACAAGAGAAGTGAATGGCATTGATACTAGGCTGGACTGTGTTATCAAGAGGACAAGGGAAATGAATTGCCCGGATACTTGGCTGGACTGTGTTAACAAGAGGACAAGGGAGTAAATGGCATGGATACTAGGGTGGACTGTGTTAACAAGAGGACAAGAGAAGTAAATGGCATTGATACTAGGTTGGACTGTGTTAACAAGAGGACAAGGGAAGTGAATGGCATTGATACTAGGCTGGACTGTTATCAAGAGGACAAGGGAAATGAATGGCACGGATACTTGGCTGGACTGTGTTAACAAGAGGACAAGGGAAGTGAATGGCACGGATACTTGGCTGGACTGTGTTAACAAGAGGACAAGGGAAGTGAATTGCGTGGATACCAGATACAAAGAACTAATTGGTCATGGACTCTATTGTTGTGACTTTCCATTTTGGAGGTATCCCTTTGTTTGGTGTCCGTGTAGATACAGTCCTGATCCTTTTCTCACAGCATAGCACCGAACACTCTCCTCAGTTAATAAACTATCTCTTCTTTCCATAATCTTGTCACAGCATACTTATTTAGCATTATATTACCTTATTGCTACATGACCCTTCATTAATGGCACTGAGTATAGATCATTTAATGGAAATTGCTTGGATTACTCATATGTGTTTTTTTCTCAAGTAGATTCTGAGTGTAGATAATTTCATGGCTTTAACAGAAGTTTTAATATCTTTCATGCCTAAACCCCTTTCTGTAATCTTGTTTGAAACTGTTCCTTTTGATTTTGTCACTTTTGACATTCCAAATATATATGGAAAATATTTCTCAAGGGAAGTGATAAATTCATCAGGTGGGTTAGGTAAAGAATTGAAAATGTGAACTTATTTTGAAAGAACCAATGTTGCCAATCAGTGTCAAAATTGTTGCCAGTAATCAATTTCGTCAAGTCTTTTTCTTGTGTTGATTACCAAGACGTCATTCAGATCAGGAATTTAATACCCAAAACTTCAAATTCCTTTCTTTGCTATTCTTTGCCTATTCAATTCTTGACAAATTATATATCTGCTACCTGCATTGGAGCCTATCCAGGTTGCTTTAGTCTTATCTATATGTATCCTCACCCCTGGCATACTGTAAAGAATTAATGGTATCAATGGCTCATCTGAGCCATCCAAAAATAATTCAGTATTATCAGCATATTGTCCTAGTTTATATTCCTGAATATCAATTACAATACCGTTTATATCATAATTTTGCCTTATCATACGTCCAAGGATTTCAGCAACAAAAAGGAACAAATATGATGATATTGGATCACCTTGCCTGAGCAACTCCGCTCATTACGGAAGGAATCAGAGAGATGTCCATTCTGAGTAACACTTGAAGGTGTACCATAAGTTTATAAATTAATCCAGCGTATAATCTGTGGCCCCAAACCAAAGTTGAGTAAAACAGAGTTGATAAAATGTTTAGAAACTGTCAATTAAAATCAACAGAGTAGGGATATCTCTGTGCATTGTTTCAGACATAAGATCATATCATAATCTGTATTTTCACTAAGTGTTCTACTCGGTCTGATTATTATAGATCAAAGAATCTGAGATGATTATTAAAGAACCACTAAACTTTGTTTTTGGTTACTCTTTTAACCATTACATATGAAAGATTTGTGGTTAGTCTTATGCGGAACACCAAATTTATTCTTTAAAAACTTGTGGTTAATTAATACAGAGCGATTAAAAGTGGCCAAAAAGTCGCCTGCTTCCCTCTCGCCCGCCAACGAAACCACAGACAGGTTACGTAACTCTGTCGCCAGAGCACTGCAGTGACGTCATATGAGGAACGATTTTCAGTTAGTTGTATAGAAAATATGTAGCACGCTCATCATTTTGATGATTTCTCGACATCAACGACGACATGCCGAATCGTTGCTTTGTCGTCAATTGCTCCTAGGGGTCGGGCGATGGTGTCCCCATGCACAGATTTCCACAGGACCCCGCAGTTCGTGCTAAATCGGTTATCTTTGTGAGTGCGAAGCGAGCGTTGTGGAAGCCTGAAACATATCTTATTTGTGTTCAGATCGCTTCACGGAAGTTAAAGAATCAAAACTACTTACTAGTTGTAGTAAAATATGCATATGATTGATGACCATAAAGATTTTCTATGAGACAACTTGTAACATAACGATTTCTTTCCTCGGAAGTGAGGTTGTGGTCGAAGTAACAATAATATTGTAAGTAGTATTATTGATTCACCTCGCTGCCACGAGAGAAATTGTTATGTTATACGCTATGTCCGCGCAAAAATCCTATTGGCCATCAATAACATACATATTTATTACCAGTAGAAAGTAGTTTTGATTTTAGAGACTCGGTGAAAACAAACCTAAATACCATTTATCCTCAGACTGGCGGATGTTCCCGACACAGGGCGACGCCATTTTAAAAATAAAAAATCTGTTAGAATTAATGAGATTATAGTTTGTTTTCATCAGAGTTAGAAAATCAAGACTACTTTCTACTCGTAGTTAAATATGTATTGGAATCATAACCAAAATGGATTTTTGCATGAAACAACTTATAACATAACGATTTCTTCCACGGAAGCGAGGTGGGGTCGAAGTCACAATACTGCGCGATAAATTTCTTGCTACATTCACATGGTTAATGTCCACTCACCAGTATGTAGATACTAGTCAATGTGCGTCTTTATATTTGGT